AACTTGACTTTCCTACATATGAACCTCAGAAGTTTTGTGATTCTTCCAAAAACCATATGAAAAAGCATGTATGGGAAGTACATGCACAGAGGCACATTTTTCTGTGGAGAAGGGTCCATAGCTTTCCACAAATCTGCAGAGGTATCTTTTACAAAAAACAAAAACCTTACAATAAAAATCAAAACAAAAAGGAAAACCAACAATGGGTAGGAACAATGGGTAGCACTTTACTGGGTAAGTTAATTCCTAGGAAAGATAGGGGCATTAGATCAAATGACTGCCAAGATTTATTGTATCTAATGATACTGGCATCTCAGCAAAATAGGTGGCTCCCCTGGATAATTTGTCTAATGTGTGATGAAACATGAGCCTGGAGCTTATTATTTCTAACCCATGCTATTTCAACTATAACCATAATAAGTACTGGTGTAAACTCTGTCTGATAAGTATAAGCCCATCAAGAGAGCAATTCCCTTATAAATTTACCCTTCTCCACTTTGTCCTCAAGATATGGCCTAATCCCAGTATCAATCCAAATATAATTGACTGGAGTAGATGATTCTTCACATAATATTTCAAGGCGTTTGAGTACCATTTCAAGTGAGACAAAGAACCCTGTCTCACACCATTATTTCTTCATCGCTTTCAGTATATTTTTCAGGGTGAGGACTGGCAAGTATTTCCAGAAACTTGTTTAGCTTGACAATTATTTCCTCCTGTCTTGAGACAGGAGGAAGATAACAGAAATTATCTTTGACCCTGAATGATTCATTTATATACTGGAGGGTTTCTAGATGGCAGAATACAGGCCATGAACCTGAACAATTAGAATAAAGTGTTCATCTTTCCTGGCAGTTTAAACTGGCCCTTGTTTTAATGTTAACAAGAGAAATATGTGAAAAGGAATGAGGTTTGCCAATTAGTAGTTGTTCTGTCACTGGAAGTCTTGAACCTGGTGTGTTCTTAAGAAGCTAATTCCTAAGGAATGTATCTGCCAGGGGTCACCTCTGCTTTCAGGTTGCCATGGAATCAGTGATATTTTTTTCCATCAACTTCACAGTTTTTGAGAAAAGATCTAGAAACTGTTAAAGTGAACGTCAACTACAAATATCACTAGCAGAAAGATTTAATATGGAAATTAGGTCTTGCACAGTTGTTTATGTACTAGAATTCTAATTTCTAGAAAACACAAATTCCCTATTGGACCAGTCTTTTCCCCGAGAATTAAGAAATTTTGAGTTAAAATTCATATACAGCAAAACATCAATCTTAAACGTAAAGTTTGCTGAGTTTAGCAAATACAGTCATGTGATCAAGACCCCAGTCAACATTTTGGTATTTCTATTACCTTAAAACTCCCCCTCATCTCTACCTGCAGTCAAGTCATTCTTCACCTGTGAGAGACATTGACCATTCTGATAAGTCTCCATAGGTTAGTTTTACCTGTTCTTGAACTTCATATAAGTGAAATCACACAGTTCATACCCCTCTGTGACTTCCTATTTTGACACAATAAGTTTTTTGAGATTCACTTAAGGTTTTATTTAATCAGCAACTTACTCATTTTATTGCTGAATACTACACAAATGTATGAAAGTACTGTATCACCCACTTTCCTACTAAGGTCATCTGGGTCGTTTCCAGGGGGGCTGCTCTGAACAGCTGCTATATGCACCTTTTTATGGTGTGAACATGCTTTCATTATGGATCGGTTTTGGGGGGTGGGGGTAATACTAGGAATACCAGATGGCTGGTTCATAGGATAGGTGTATATTTAGCTTTACAGGAAGCTTCCAAGCAGTGATCCAAAGTCGTACAATTCACAAGCCATCCATGAGGGTTCCAGTTCTGCATCCTTGCCAGCGTTTGGGAATGTCTCTCATTCTGGTTTAGCCATCCTAGTGAACGTAGAGTGGCGTCTGTGGCTTCAGTTTGCATTTCTCTGATGACTAATGATGAGCACCTTTTCATGTGCCTACTTGCCATCTGTACATCTCATTTGTGAAGTGTCTGCTCAGGTCATTTGCATGAGTTCTTGTTTTTTATACTGATCATATTTATGTTCTTGATAAAATTCAGATAAGCCTACTATGTTTGTTTTATATGTATTTGCAGTGCCTGCCCTGTGTAGTGCTAAAAATGCTGGACATACGGTTTGAGAAGAGAAACATGTAGTTGTATCTAAGAGTCTTAAATTAAAATGGCTAGAATATATACCCAGGAACACCTCTCTTAAGTTATTGAGAGCTGCCAAGTTGACAAGCATTTGACAGTCCATGATGATCAGAAGAAGGAAAACAAGGAAGCGAGCTACAAACGTTCACAAAAATTGCTGATGCTCGTTCTAACGCTAAACGATAGAGGGCGCTGGAGATAGTGGGAAAACTCGCGCTTTTTGCTTTTTTCACCGATAGATTCCCCGTCGTTGCCCCACCGTCCTCACAAGCCTGAGACCACACAGGGTGGCGTTCACTCTGCTCTGGCTGCACGTCCTGGACGCCCAGGGGGACCCCCTTGCGGCCTGCCCAGACTGTGATCAGGGTCCCGTGGGCTCAGTCGGCCGCACCAGAGCCCCCACCCCCTGGGACACCCATCTCTTGCAAGTTGCCTTGTCAGTTTTGTCAGCCATCCGATTGATAAAGGATATCATCAAAAAGAAAGGGTTGGTAGGAATAAATTCCAATCACTTGTTAGATTACACTTTCTCATCAGTGGACATAAATGGATAATTTACATAGACATGTGGAAAGGGAAGAGGAAAAGGAGAAAAGGAGACATTTAGGAAGGAAGGCTGGAGGAGAAAGGGAGGGGAAAGGGAAGGTGGAAGGCAGAAAGGGAAGAAATGTGGAGAAGTGCACAGTCTCACTAGCAACGAAAAACTACACAAACAGAAGCAGCTCTATGTAATAGGCACCTATGGGTCCTCTATGTAATAGGTCCAGCTATGGGACCTTGGCACAGACATGCAATCTCTGTCCTTTTGGGGATCTCTCCAGCAATATGTAATAATACCATTTTCAGACACCTGCAGTCTATTGAAATTCCAGCTCCTCCACTCCCTAGTTAAGGGTTCTGAGAAATGACACCTCTCTCATGCTCATGTTCTTCATTTTAAAATGTGGGGGTGTTTCTTCCTGGGCTGTACTGGAGGCTCCCAGGAGCTTGTTCCTCTTTTCCCCTTGGGAAACATACCTCTTGAAATAAGCCGAAAGTGGGGATGAGAAGAGTGATCTTGGAATACAATTCCATACTTTAAATTAGAGAAAGGACCCACAATTGGCAGCTCCTATAATCTGTCTTCATAATGGCATACTAAATTCAATTAAGCATATTACATTGAAAGAGCCAGGCTTATAAAATGTAATTAACAGACTACTTCATCCTTTTGTTTCCAGTTACCCATTCGAACCTGCTCTATAGCTCTCCTCTCCCTGCCCTTTGGATAAAGTCTAAAGCAAGTCCTATGACTTTTTTGATCATCTTAGTAACAATACATTTTTTTCCTGTAACTTCAAGTTACAAAAAACAAATTCTGTTCAGCAGATGAAATAAACTCCTATCTCAGGTTAATGGGAAATCCAAACTTCCAACTTCATTCGCATTAGGCTTCCCCTTTACTCGTATCCTCACCTTGGTTTATGCATTAGTAGGCTGCCACAGAACCAAGAGGGGGAACCATAAACAGTAAACTAACCCACCAGTGACCCGGCTGTTGGTGTTGTCACACTCAGAGTTGACTGACGACATAGAAATCTTCACCAGAAGACTATAATCTATCACAAAGCATTAGATGGAAACTTAGGACAGAAAGATACAGTCATTTAAATGAAGACCTGAGCATATCAGTTAACTACAATTAGATAGCAGATTTATTGAATGTTAATAGGACACTATGAAAACTCAGCTAAAACTCGACATTAATAGTACTGAAAAACAACCAACAGCCTGATTTTAGCCAAAAGGCCGAGAAGCCATTAGCCTAAGACTCTTAAGGGAAGTTTTGGAAAGATCTAATGTGTGTGATTGGGATCACAGAGGAGTGGAAGAATGAGCAGAAACACTGTTTGGAGAAATATAGGCCAAGACTTCTCCAAAACTGCTGAAACTTAGACAACAAAGCAGAGTAAATAAAAAGAAACTAATTAGGGACTACCAATAACTAAACTACTGGAAGCTAGAGAAAGAAAATACTGAAAATGGAAAGGGGGATAGAAGGAGACACATTATTTTCAAAGGAGAAGCAATAACACTGATAATTCACCTGTCAGTGGAGATGCTGGAAATGAGAAGAGAATGAATGCCATTTTTTTTTTTTAAGATATATTTATTCATACAGAATTGGGGTACAGGCCAGAGTTGCGGAGGGTGAGGGGATTCACCAGAGACAGAGTGGGGAGCAGAACAGGCAGATCTATGAAGTACACTGCTGAGGAGAGCAGCGGGCGGGTCAGGAGAGGTCTGCCACTCCATGTGGATCACCTCCGAGACAGGCGGAAATCGAACTCATGCAGAAGTGGTTTAAGCTTCTTTGTGCTGGGCTTTAACCCGCTGCGCCACCAGGGAGGGTCCTGAATGCCATTTTTAAATGGCTAAAATAAAATAAAAGAAAGCCTAGAATTCTACATCCTAGAATCTGAAAGACATTTCTATTAAAAACTGAGAAAATTTGCTACCAGCAGATCTGTATGAAAAGAAATACTGAAGAGATGTTCTTCAGGTAGAAGGAAAGCTATCTCAGTCAAAATCACGGGAATGCAGGGAAGAGTAAAAAGCAAAAGAGGCCCTCCCTGGTGGCGCAGCGGGTTAAGCACTGCACTAAGAAGCTTAAACCAATTCCGCATGAGTTCGATCCCTGCCTGCCTCGGAGGAGATCCACATGGTGCGGCACACCTCTCCTGACCCACCTGCTGCTCCCCTCAGCAGTGTACTTCGTCCATGTGCCTGTTCTGCTCCCCACTCTGTTCCTGGTGAATCCTCTCACCCTCTGCTTCTCTGGCCTGTACCCCAGTTCTGTATGAATAAATAAATAAATCTTTTAAAAAAAAAAGCAAAAGTAAGACTTAATGTGTAGGTGGATATAGGTGAATATTTACTGAGTATAGCAATAACAGTAATATTAAATGTAAAATATAAGTGGAATTTAAAACTATAAAATAATAATACAAAGAAATTGGGATAGAGGTAAATAGAGAATAGTGTTTTAAGAACACAGTATTATGTGGGGAGTGATTTAAAAACAGCAAAATTTGTATTAGATTGTAATAAATAATGGATATCAACTATCATCTCTAGGGGACCACTAAAATAATAATTGGCTGTAAGTAGCAGCTCATGGGTGGGGAGAGAAAGAATAAAATGAAAATGATTTAACCCAAAAGAAGGCAACATTGGAGAAAAAAGGAAATGCAAGGTGGAAACAAATAAGATGGCATACATGAATGAAATTATACATGTAATTATATTAAATGTAAATGAAGTAAATATAAATGAAAGAAGTTGAGAGACTTGATTAAAAAAACTATGTTCAAGAAATACATCATAAGTATAAAGAAGCTGAAAAAAGTAGGGTAAATTATTTTTAAAAATGCCATTATGAGTGGTTGAGTGTACCACTTCTAATGACAAAAGATTCAATTTGCTAGAAAAATATCAGTTTTAAACGGGCACAAGCCTAATAGCATAATCCATCTATAGGAAGCAAAATTAACCAATTAAAACAAGTTAAGAATCCATGACCTGATCATGAGTATATTAAAGGTCCTACAGCAAACATCATACTAGCGAATATTGAAAGTATCCCCCCTGAAGTGTGTTTATTAGTGCTAATAGATTTTTTTTTGTGGATTCCTTAGAATTTTCTATTTGTAAGACCATATCACCTAAAAATATAGTTTACTCCTTCCTTAACAATCTAAGTACACTTTATTATTTTTTTTCTTGTCCAGTTGACCAGCCATGGCAATTTGGCATAAAGCTTATAAGGGAAGTAATAAAACTGTCATACAAAATCAATAGAATCTCTATATACTAGCAACAGACAAATATGAAACAGCTAACTATTAATAAATCTAATGAAAGATGCGCAAGGCTACTTTGCTGAAAAGTATCCTGAAAGAATTCTAAGATTTAGGAGAGGCATAAACAAAGGACACACCACGTTAATGGGGCAAAGGTTCAGGATTGTCACAGTGTCAAGTGACTCCAAACTGGCCTATACACCCAAAAATAACAGTCTAGAACTTTTTTTGTTATGGAAATTGACAAGCGGGTTCTGAACTGCTTTACGGAAATGTGTAAGACTTCTTTCAGCTGGGGTCTCCTTGTGGACAGGATTTGGGCTGGTGCTCCGTGCCCATGGGAAGCACTGGTATGTTTTTTGTCTTGTCCACATCTGTAGACAGCAGCCGGCTTAATACACAACCCCACGACCTCCCCATCAGCGCACAGGGTCTGCCAGCCTTTTGCTATTGAGTCAGACACACCAGTCCCCTCTGTCCTGCAATGGTGATGCTTAGCAACTTTCCAAGTGGCCCTGCAAAGGCCACTGATAGGCATGAAGGTCACCTTGAAGTGTGGAGGTGGCTGGCAGCGATGCCTCAGGGTTCCCGGTGGAAGGGCAAAGTTTCGTTGTAGTAGCCTACTGTACAAACACATAGGAAACTCCAATTGTGTGCATTATGCTATTAGAAATGAGTGCCGTGTGGACTACATTGAAAACCTGCACAGGAACTAAGTGAGCAAAAGCAAGTACAGATGATTCTGTCCAGACAGACCAGGGCCAGGTAGAGCGTGGGCTTGTATGTTTGCAGATTGGCAGTGAAGGCAAAGAGGCACAAGCCGAAATGAGCGCTAACTCCTTTCCCTTGCTGAAGTTGCTTTTTTTGCTTAAGATTCTGGTTTACAGTTTTGTTCTAGTTATGTACCAACACACTGACTCTGCAAGTTCCACAGCACCAGGGGGCAAAATACAAACTGCTTGTTAAGTAACAAGTGACTTGCGACAGAGCTCCCCGATACCCGAGTAGGCTTCGCCGGGAGCTGCCGGTGGTGGCCAGTGGGCACTTCCACCCTAGTGAATGTCACGCCGACACCTACTGCAACAGTGATAATAGTGGAATTTTGAGGTTTATAGGAAGAGCGCTCTGTCCTGGGGGCTGCACTTTGGCTACCCGATGGCCCCTGCATTTCCTGTCCCAAGTGAGAGCCCAGGCTTTGAACCAGGGAGACCACAGAACCCAGCGGCAGCACACCTGTAAGAGCCGGCGTATGAGGACTCTGGGAAGGGTGGGCCCTGGGCCAGGTCTGAAGCTGGTGAAGCGCCCAGTGCCTGGGGTGGCTGGATTTGATCTCCCTAGGTGCAGCACTCCTCACCTGGCACAGGCAGCAGAGCGAGGTGGGCCGCTCATGGCCATCTCGCGCGGTGCCGAAGCCAGCAAGTTGCAATCCCTGAGAGCGGTGGGCACTCTGCTGCCCAGGCCTGCTGGGGCTGCTCCAACCTATAGGCGGAGCCCACCACTCAGGCTGCTATTTACCGTGGACCGATGGAGCACGGTGGACAGCAGGCCTGCAGGGCCCAGCACTCTGCTCTCTCTGTCAGGCTAGAGACAGGAGAACCTCAGCTGAACACCCGTGTGGGTTTAGGTCAACACGCCTTTCGCTTTCCCAAGTGCAGCCCGCACGGCCAGTCAGCCCGCGCAGCTGGGCGCTCTCCAAACAGGGCATTTCTTCAGAACGTCTGAAGTGTGGGTCCAGATTGGGACAGTGATGGCCATGTAGCAGGACTCAGGGTCACAGGTGAGGAAGGACGGAGTGAATCAGGAGGGCCTGTTGGGCTGTGGTTGGAACAGCCGCCCTGCTGACCTGGCCTGGTCCCGGCCTCTTGTTGCATCTCTGTTCCTGCCGTCAGTGGCACCAATGTGCCCCTGGGTCAAGGGGATGAGGGAGGGAGCGTCCAGCCTGTGGCTGCTGTGCGTGACTGTGCAGAGAGCATGTAGTGGCCCCACGGGGTCGCAGGCCAGACTCAGAGCGCAGTGGAGCAGCAAAGTGCATGCCAGCGCTTCACCAGCTCCTTGGGCTTGCCGAGCATCTCGTTCCAGTGCTCCAGCTCTCGGCCACGGGCGAACATGTAGGGGCCCACCACCACCCGGCCCAGCTGGCGGCTCTCTGCAGGGGAGGCAAAGCACCGGTTACTCTCCTGAGCAAGGACCTCCTAGTTCTCTCTCTTCACCCCCTGAAGGACGTAGCAAGCCCCATCCCTCTTCCAGCAGCACGAGCTGGCAGTCCCCAAAGGAGCCCTGATTTTGCTCTGGTGTTGGAGCTGGCCAGAGATGGAAGCCCAGGTGAATAGCATGCCCTTTGGGGCACACACCCTGCCTCACCCTCCGGGGCGGGGGGGGGGGCTTTTAGGTCTGCCTTATATTGAAGAACGGAGGGGCGGGGCCCTCCAGAAAGAAGTTCTCTTTCATCAGTCCACTTATACACTCACTGGGGACAGTCAACAACTTTCTCCCACCTCATAGTAGGAGAAAGAGCCACCGCTCTGGCCCATGAAGTGACTCTGCTTCCCCAGTGACAGGGACATAGCGGTGTGGGGCAGTGTGGGAGAGCCCGCTGGAATAACTCCACCCTGTCCCCATCCCAGACCTTGCCCACCACCCTAGAGGTTTGTCCAGAAGGCACGAGACAACGGAAGGCAGTCATGACCCACAGCTTCGGGTCCCTCAGCTGGGGGCAGCGGCCTCCCTTCCTCCCAGCTGCTGGACTTGCCCAGAGGGATAGCAGAGGCGTCCCCCCGGCCTGCTTTAGTGTGCCATGATGGTCAAACTGGACGAAGGCTCGGGAGAAGCCCAGCTCTCCCACTAGTGAGCTCTGTGTTCCTGGGTGTGCGTGTCGGCCTCTCGAGTTCCCTTAGAACAGAGCCTCCCTCCGAGGGCCCACCCTGCCTGCTTGCTCCGTCCCTCCTTTGACAGTTGCCCCAACAGTGGTGGGAGTGGGTTGGTGGGTGAGGGGGAAGCCTTACCATCCCCTTCTGTACCCTGCAGCACCATCAGACTGAGGCTGACAGTGTCCAGCTCAGCGGCGTCCACCTTGAAGCTGAAGGTCTCACTGAACACAGGGTCGGTGGAGCCCAGCACAGCTGAAGTCTTCTTGCACTTGACAAACTTGTTTTGTTTCATCAGAGACACCTTGACAAACACACCTGAGGGGCAGTGCAGACGACAGGCTGGGAGAGGCGGGGAGGGACCCAGCACCCAGCCTGTGGATGCCTGTTAGGAGGGGACATACACCAGGACCCCATTTCTCCCAGCCGCTGCCATCAGAGGATGTTATAACAGGAAACAGGCTGATTAGATACAGATCAGCTGTATCTTTCTTTAAGGAAGCCCAGATGAAATATAGGAATCCCTGTTTCCTGTTATAACAGGAAACAGGGACCCGAAGCTGTGGGTCATGACTGCCCTCTGATTAGCGCTGGACTTGGGGCCAAGGAAATGCTCAGCTCCCTTCCGCTTCCTGTCTGTCGCCTCCTGAGTGCACCCCGGACTGGGGCTGGCCCTTGTTTATCGGAGTCTGGTACCACATGCCTGTCCTTCCCTGCCTGGCATGGGGGTGGGGGGTGGGGTGGTGGTGGATGGGGAGCTGTCTGCTGAATACTTAGGGCCCTCTGAGTTCCCTTAAACATCTCCTTTAGAGGGTCAAGTTTTGGAGGGCTGGGGCTGAGATGTGTCTGGGGTACCCTGTAGACCAAAAGTGGGTGGCAGACCACTACCACCTTGCTGGGACACAGGCATGGGGGCATTGGGTGGGCTGGGGCAGGCCCTCTGCTCCCCCAGCTCCTGGAGCCTGGGAGGCTGGAAGCAGTGTACCATTCTGTCTGTCCACTGGGGGTGTCACTGCTTCCAGCTGTATTCCATGTGCTGGGGGCCTCCTGAGGGCGGGAAGCCAGAGGGCCTCGCTCTGGAGGAAGCACAACCCACCTCAGAAGGGCAGAGCTGGTGGGGGGGCGGGGAGGCGCATGGTCTAAGCAGCTGAGATGCTGCCTGGGGGAGAGGAGGCAGACTTGGTCACACGTGTCTCTGGGGTCCCTGTGAGCCCACAGAGCCTCAGCCTTAGTTCAAGCACGGAAGCAGCTTCTCACATGGAGAGGGTCCAGAGAGGGAGGAGGAGGTCGAGGAGCAGGGAGCACTCCATGGCGGCAGTATGCAAGCAGATACTGGATGGGCAGCGGTGAGGGCCAGCCCCGGCCCCCAGTTCGCAGGGCAGAACTGGCCCCAGGAGGAAAACTTACCGACAAAACCTGTGTCCTCCTGCAGTTGCAGGCCCCTGGCGCGCAGCACAATCACGGTGAGGCGGCTCAGGCAGCTATTGTAGCTGAGGCAGAACTGCAGGTCGCCAAACTCTGAGGGGGGCTGTGGAGGTGGAGAGGAAAGCACCCTTGTCCCCCTGGCAGGTGCTGGAGGTGCTGAACGAATCCTCCCCCTCCCAGCAGTCAGGCCTGGGTACCATGCGACACCCACCTTCCTCTCCTTTAAAGTCACCCACCACTTTATAGACCGGAAACTGAGGTCTGCAAAGCTGAAGGTTCAGCCAGGGTTTTGAGTTGCCCAAGGCCTTCCTGGGGCCAGGGAAGCCATGGGTAAATTTGTGTTCCTGATCCCTTTGGGTGGTGCCTTTCACAGATGTCTGTTCTGGGGGAGTACCCAAACGTGGATTCTCCAGCTCCCTCCAGGTAGTGGGCCTCTAGCACAAAAGAGCCTCCAGCTGCCCTACACTGCCCAGAAGTGACTCCATCCTCCCCTCTCTCATCTGTGTCTGGGGTTCACCGCCCCGAGTCATGCTCTAGGGGTGACGGTCAGTATGCTGAGGGCTGACCCTGATCAGCAGGTGCTGGGCGGCCCTGCTGCCTGCCCGCAGAAGTCTATACATGTGGCTTATATCTTGACCTTTCCCTCCAGGTGCTCAGCCTCCAGGTCTCTCCAGATGATGCGCGGGCAGCTGCCTCCCAGCGTCTCATCCTTCAGGGGGAACAGCACATGGCCCAGGAGTTGGTGCTTCCTCTGTCTGTGCACGTGATACACTGAGAACCGCAGCACCCTCTGTGTGATGCTCTTGCTGGGCACCTGGGGGAGGCAAAGACCCAGGCTGGGATCTGGTAGCTGGGGCAGGGGATCAGATGTGCATGTTGTTCTGTATCCAGGAGCTGTTCTGGTGAGGGGTGTCTCAGCCAGGGACCTGTGTACCCCAAAGTCAGGCATCCTTAGGGGGCCCTTTTCAGCAGGGGTGGGGAGCAGTACTACTGGACCTCACCACACAGAATTTGATCTGGGGAGGAAGAGTATCCACCCCCTCCCTGAACGTGTCAGAAATGCAACCCCTTGAGCCCCACGCTGGACCAGGGAAGCGGGGCCTACCAAGTCATTTGTCTGCACATAAAAGTGAGCGCTCATTTTTAAAAACTTGACTGTACAGTTTTTTAGACACAGAGACAATGGTACTTGTGTCCTTCTGTCCACTCTACTGAACTGTTGAACTACCTCAAACTTCATTGTTCATCAAAAGGAATCTCAGACACTCAGGAGATTGTTCAGACCCTAGAGTGTCTTTGCAATGGAATCAGGTGTTTGGCTCCCATAAAATGACATACAATGTCCATGTCTTCATTTGAAACTCAGCTGTATCTTTCTTTAAGGAAGCCCAGCTGAAATATAGGAATCCCTGTGTACAAGTGAGGGGAAGGAGTATAGAATAAAAAATTTTTAAGTTTGATTCTATACTCCACAGGTATATATTTCAGTGAGAGAATGTATTCGAGAGTCCTGAATTCCTGACCTATTATATGAAAATATTCAGGATAATAGCAAAAAAAAAAAAAAAAAAGTGAGCGCTCATGGGGTGGGAAAGGTGCACCGGACTATCTATGGTGATGGCACATGGTGAGCTCGTGGTGGGAAGTCCAAGGGGATCACAGCTGAGATGGGAAAAGGCACACATGAAGAATGATGTAACAATAAATTTAAAAAATAAAAGCCAGTGCTCATGCTGGAACACAGGCTCTGGGACAGGGAGACTGCCTGTCTGCTCGGCCTGAGTGCCAGCTCTCTCCCCTGAGACTCAGTCCCCTGTCTGTAACGGAGAACACTTGCTGCTCTCCAAGTGGGAAAATCCCAGCCAGGGTCCGGCCTAGGGCAGGCGATCAGTTGGGACTGATTTTCTTCTTCCCCTTCTCAAAGCATAGCGAGGCCAGGATCCGGCTGGAGCTACAGGGCCAGGAAAAGGAGGATGTGGGCCTGAGGTGTGATAACTGGTCAGCTGGACCGAGCCCCGCCCCGTTGGATCTTGAATTCCCTCGGGCTCACCTGTGAAACCTGTCCCCACTGCCCCCGCCCCGCCCCGCCCCTCCGCTCAGCTCTCAGCCTCAAAGGCCGGCAAGAATGGAGGTTCTGGCCTCAGCAGTCATTCTTCCCAGATGCTGTTGCCAGCCAGCCTGCTACCCAGCTCTTCAAAATGCTGTCCAAGGCTTCACGGGAGCCCATGACTGCTGGCTTCAGAAGACACTGCCCTGCAAATCACCCAGTCTGCGCAGGGCCCCCCTACTGACAGCAAACACCGGATGTGTTTTCTCTTTCTCTCTTCCAGGCTGCCCAGGGGTAAGGAGCCGGGCCCTCTGTCCTCTCAGCTCCCAGGCCACCTCCCTGCCTGCCCACCATTGTCAGGGCTCTCACGGGCCCTCCCCTGCAGGCTGCCCCTTCCCAGGCCAGACAACACCACGTCCTGTCTGCTCCACAGATCCTACCTGGAAGACAAAGTGCTCATTGAACTGTGGGTCGGCAGTTCTGCGTTTTGTCCTGGACTGGAGGAAGCGCCGCTCATCCGGCAGCAGGTGGAGCTTCACGAGGGCACTGCAGGCCTCCTTGGGGGCTTGCAGCCCCTGCGCCTTGATCAGGCCCACCAGCAGCCGCTCGGCTTCCCGCTGGTATTCCACGGAGAACCACAGCCGTCCCAGGCAGCCCTCTGGGAAGTCGCTCTCACTCTGGTCCTCTGGGAACTTGTACAGCACTGGGTTGATGGTCCCCACCACGCAGCCATCTCCTAGGACACAGGGGCTGGGAGCTCTGGCAGCCGAGGAAGCACAGCCAGGCTTGCTGTTCCCTGGGGTCCCTAGCAGAACCATGGTGTTCCTGCAATCTCTGTCCCCTGTGATTGACCCCTCTCTCTGGGGTAAGGATCCAGCACAGGCCTGACCCCTTTCCATGGGGCCCAGAGGATGTCTCAGTGACAGTATTGCCTCCTTTCTTCCTCTTCAAACTAGAAGGACCTTACTGATCACTGGGAAGGGCTCTGGGAGGCCGCAAACATGGGCAGGTTGTGTGCCCATCTCCTGCCATATTCTGCACACTGGTCAAAGTCCAAACCCAGTACAGGCTTTGTGCCTGGGGGTGCACTGGGGTCCAACCCCAGATCTTGTGCTGACTGTGACCCTAGGTAAGGCACTGTTCACCTTCCAAGCCTCAGTTAATGAATGTATAAAATGGGGTGATAATCAGCCCCCCAAAGCACCCCCCAAGGTGGTCCAACTCCAAATCAGCATAGGAAATGCTGGGGCTCAGATGCAGGAGCACGTGGGAACCCCAAGGACCCGAAAGAGTGGTCACTGGCTAACTCTGGCATCTAGGCTGTGTTCTGGAGCCAGACCCAGTGAGAACAGATGGCCCACCCTGGCCTGAACGAACTGACCCCAGGACAGGCCCGGCAGGAGCACTCACCAAGGCTGCTGCTACCGCCGCTGGAGGTGTGGCACAGGCGCTCTGGAGCTGTGCAGGGCTGCTGGGCAGCCCGGGCCCACTCTCCACGGTGCAGGGGCACCCATTCTTGGTCCTGCAGGGAAGGGGGCACCATAAATGGTGCGCCTGGTTGTCTGGACAGAGAGGTAGGGAAACAACAGAAAGTAACAGGTTAAGGTATGGTCTCAGGGCACATAACCCAGAGAGGTTGAGTACCAGGGTCTAGGTGAAGAAAAGCCTTCGAGAGCCAGGAAGAGGCAAGAGCATCATTTTCTATGCCCACACCTGCACACGCTCACACACACACACATGCACGCACAGAGCCAGGAGTGTTGAGCACCTGTAGCAGCAGGGAGGTGGAGAAGGTGCACCACCTCCTGTCTGGGTGGAATGGTCGTCCCGCCACTTACAAGCTGTGCTCTCTGGACCCTTTACTTATGTCCTCTGAGCCACACCTCGCTCACCTGGAGAATGGGCTTCACAATGCTGCCAGGGCTGAGAGGATGCTGAGTTTCTGTGTGACAGCTCTCAGCCCCCAGCGTGGTGAGACACAGAGGACAAGAGTCGTAAACAGGCCCCTCCGTCCCCCGCCCGCTCCTGGGAACCTCCACAAGGGAGGCCCATCCAAAGCAAGGCCAGGAGCTCACCTAGCCTCATCCTGCCTCACCTGCTTGTGTGGGTGCTGGCACTCAGCGGGCAGAGCTTGTCTCCCTGCACGCCGGAGGCAGTCGTGGTCCCTGGCAGCTCCTCATAGATGAATGTGACACAAAGCCTTTTCCAGAGACAGCAGCTCACCCCGATCAGCAGCAGTAGCAGAATCGCCCCGGCACTGGCCCCGATGACCAGGGCCACCAGTTCTGGGGACACAGACCACCAGGACGGTGATGCCTGGAAAAGCCACCCCTTGCACACCTCTGGCTGCTGGGGGAGTTTTGAGGCAACAACCCCACCCTTGGGTGGGACCACAGGAGCCACATAGAAGCAGCTTTCTAGAGTCCAGGGTTCTGTTGGCTGGACTCTGCAGAAAAACCACTTTCCTTGGGGTCTTAGTGCCCTTTGGTTTCCTTTGGAAACCAGCAGCTCCTGGATCTGGTGTGCTGGCTGCAATGACCCATTTCCTTGTGAGGAGAGATGAAACCTCTTTGCAGATCCTCCTCCCTCTTGCCTGGGTTCCTGTTCCCACCGGGGCTGAGCCTGGGTGTGGACATGTGCACTTAAGGGGAATAGGGATGGGAGGATGCCCTGACTTGCATCCACTAGATCCCTGGGGTTATGGGTCTCTTGAAAGGCTGGACTCCTGCTTGAATTCTGCAGCTTTCTCTAAATCTCTGCTCCCCCCCCCCCACAGCAAGCTCCATAGGGGAGTCAGTGGGCGGTGGTGAAGAGGGATGTGGGTGAGTAGCGGGCAGTGGGTGTGAATAACTGAAACACAGGACCTTTTGCTGTGGCATCCACACCCCACATTTTGGTGGGAACCACTTGGCGGTGGTGAGTGCTCAGACTCGGTTCTCGAGTCAGCCACCAGGCTGGGGGAGTCTTGTGCGGGTGACACTTCTGGTTCTGGGGTCTGGACTCCTAGTGTCCTGAGAAGGGGGGACTCCCACACCTCCTGATGCTCACGTCTGGAGGAGCGGGCTTCGCTCTACTCTGCCCCGTGCCCCGCTAGGAGGCGGAGGAAGGACAGGACAGGGACCGCTGCCCCCGCGAGTATGGGTGGAGGAAGTGGAAGTCTCGGCCAGTCACCCGAGCGCAGGACTCCTGCTCTGGAGGCAGGGTGGGGAGACCAGGGTACTTACCCTCCATGGCGCAGCTCGGCTTGCGGGCTCTGGCTGTGTCCACAGTGATTCGGAGCGGGCTTAGGCTCGGTGCCTGGTGCGGGCACCCCTGGCTGCCGCTCGGCGGCTTTAAAGCGCAGAGCGCGGCCGTCGGGCGGGCATAGGGGTGGGGGTGGGGCGGTCCCTCGCTTCTCTCTCTCACTGTGGCGCTGACTGCGGCTGCTGGCACCCAACAGTCCAAGCTACACGCTGGCCCGGCCGGCCTTGGCCCGAGAGGGTAGCGGAAGCGACCTTGCGCTCCTGGCGAGGGGCGCTCGGTGCTCTCCAGCGCTGTGGTTCGGGTGCGGGGTGCGGGGCGAGGCGCATCTCCGTCTTCTGAGAGCGGGCTCTTCGCCTGACAGTCCCTACCTAGCAGCCCAGGCAGGTGCGCGTTCATGTAGTGATGTTCCCCACGGCTTGCTGATCCTCAGCAGGCTGAGACTGAGACCCCCAGGTCCAGCTGGAACCCCTGTGCCGGGGAGGCTTCCTAGGGTCCGGCCTGCGGTGCTGCGCTAAAGTCTACTCCTTTGTCCACTCAGTAGAGCAAATAATGAGGCATCAAGAAGCAAGGGTTCTGCAGCTGGCCACCTGGGTTTCAGCTCTGGTTGATCACTCACCAGCTGCGCGATTTGGGACTGTTGAATTAGGCACTCTGGGCTCACTTTCCCCAATAGAAGTAACAATAGTACCCCTAGAGGACTAAACTAGCCTCACTGGAGGCGCAAGGGGTTAGGACGCAGCCGCAGTTGCTTCAGTGACAGTTCGATCCCCACCCGGGTGGTGACCCACATGGCGCCCGCAGACCTCTCCTGTCTCTCCTGCTGCTCCCCTCAGCGGTGTGCTTCCTCAGTCAGCCTGTTCTGCTCCCCACCCTGTCTCTGGTGAATCTCTCACCACCCCTGCACCTCTGGCCTGAATGCCAGTTCTGTATGCATAAATAATAAATAAATTTAACAAAAGATATGGGAGGCTCACTTAGAAGGTGACAGGCCTAGGGAGAAGTTGCAGTGCATGTCACCCATCACTGTGGTGCTTATCCCACAGAGGGCAGCACCGCCTGAGCCCCCTGGACCCACAGCCCTTGCCATTACAGCGACTATTATCAGACCACAGGGGCCATGCCAGTCCATCCTGCTGAACCTTGGCAGAGGGTCGTGGAAGGGCCCTCCTTGTCCTGTACACATTCCCAATGGGCATGCACCCCAGCTGGGATGTGCACCTCTGAGATGCTTGTCCACCGTTCCTGCAGGGGGCTCTAGTGTGAGCCTATGAGGTCTGGAGGCAGCTATAAGTGTGTTCAAAGATGGGAGATATCTGGTGGGGGAGGCTTGTTGTTTCACGGTCTAGAGAGTTGTGTCCAAAAGGGAGCATGAGTCCCAGATTCCTGGTGGCACTGCTACCCATTATAGGGTATTGGGGGGCGGGGAGTGTGGATAGGAGGGAGAGCCCTCCAGGTGACCAACATGGGTGAGACCCAGTCTGCCTGAGTCCTGAATAACTCCACGTGGCATGGGTAGCAAACTGGGGTCCCCCTCCCCTAGCAGGGGTTGGGGTTCCCACCTCCTGCTGTCTGTGTGCAGAGGAAAAATGGCCACTCTCTTTTCAGAGTCTGGCCAAAGTGGAGTGGCAAGAACACAGGGCTCCACACCTCCACCCAGCCACGTCCCTGAAGGGTGCACCTGTCTTTCCCCTCCACCAGGGACCCCTGCAGGAACTTGGTTGAAGCAGGTCATTTCCTCCACTGCCATAGTGGCTGGAACCCAGACCCTGAACTCTGCCTCTTCGGGGGTGGGAGTAACATGTTAGGAAGTAGGGCAGTTTCTTCTTTCTTATAAGGACCTTGTGGTTATGTGGGTCCCACCCAGATAATCCAGGATAATCTCACCATCTCAAGGTGCGTAAAGTCACTGCTTTCACATTCCAGGAGTTAGGACCTGGCCATCGTTGGAGACATGATTGGGCTGACGGCAGTGTGCATGCAGCCCTCTGGGACAATGCTCTACATTCTCCCTCCTCTTGCTGCTGGGGCTCTTGGTGAATGCCAAGGCAGCATTCACCAGCTGCTGGGAGCGGCAGCCGGCAAGGCCCACCTGCCCCCCTGTGTGGTGACCCTGAAGTTGCCATGTGTGCAGACCTGACCATCTCCCTCAGGGGCTGGCACCCAGTTATAGCTGGCTACTCCACAGTTGGGCCAGGGTGTAGGGGGGCAAGTGAGTGTTCCTGGGAAAGGGGCCACTTTGTGGCTAGCAGGAATTGCCAGGCCCAGAGCTGCCCATCCTTTCCCAGCCCCACGCTGTGTTTTTCCAGGGCCCCAATCTTCCTCTTTCCTCTCACCTCCACATCCAACCAGTGGTCAAGTCCTGCAAGTTTTCCTTCCTCTGTCCACCTCTATCACTGCTAACTTCACCCAGGCCTCCATCACTCCTCACCTGGATCAGAGCACCAACTTCCTCGCTGTTTTTCAGAGTTCATCCTCTCTGGCCAACCCAGCTGGTATCTTCCAGGCTAGTCTTAACCACCTGGGTGCCCCCCGCCTCCCACATTTCTCTGTAGTGCTCAGTTACCAGACTGGTGAGCTAACCCTGAATGCTCTGTTATTAGGCACCATGACCATGCTGCTCACTCCCTTCCTTGGGTCCTTTCCTCTTTCACTGCTCTTCCTCCTTCAGAATAAACCTCCAGAGCTCCTTCTCTGTGAAGCTCTTCATCATCCCTTCCTTGAACTTCCAGCAACCATGTTGGGGGTAGGACGCTATACCTGTCAGTGCCTCGCCAGTGGGTCAAGACATCTGTGAATTCAGGGGCCATGTCTGATTCAGTCTGCATGCCCAGTACCCGCTTATGTGGCTGATATGTTGCCCTGAGTGGTGGATGAAGGTTTTGTGCCCTCGTGATGAGCTGCCCCTGGCTTCTGCCAACCTTGTACCTGCATCATATGCATCCTGGAAACTCACCTAGGGACCAGGCAGGAACCCCTCGGAAACCGGTTGCTGGGGCTTCCAGTCACATTGCTGGCTTTGCCTGACGTGAGCCCACTGACGCTTGAGCTTTCTTCCTCTGCCGGAAGATGAGAATAGGAGGGAACTCACCTTTCTTGTTGCCTCTGGTCTCCCCGACACCAGGAAGCAGGCTTGATGGATATGCTACCACAGAGCCCTGCCTGGTATCAGCCCTGCACACACTCTCAAAAGAGGCAAATGAAGCAAAAGGTTCTATGACACACCAGTAAGGGGTCGAGACAGACCTGGCACCTGACCCCCTCACTCCCTGCTTCTGATAGGCCGAGGGGCCCCAGATGACCATGAACTAGGCAAGAGCAACAGGCACCGTGGCCAGTCTCTGCTCCATCTACTCTCTCACAGGGGCCCGGAGACCAGGCTGGCCTGAGCCATTTCCACATATCAGACTGGTCCCGGGTCTGCCTGCAGCCCTGGCCCTGCTTCCTGTTTTCAGCTCTTTATTGGGTCTGGGACCTGGGGTATTTAGAAACTGCAGGAGGCAGGGTTTCTCTTTTCCATGGCCAAAGGAAATTATATTTCCATTGGCAAAAACATTTCCAGGGAGGGTTGCAGGAAGTCCAAGTGTTTAAAGGACTGCAAATGTCTGCAGGTGATTAATAATTCAGTGCAATGGGTGATTCACGAGAAAGGCCACTTTCAATTAACCTTAAGAATCAGCCCAGTCTGAGGAAGTGTCATCTCTCATCACTTAGGAACAGAGAGGCCAGCACAGGATAAAGGCCATGCTGAAAAACACATGGAAGATTGTGTTTCTCACATTTATGTAAATCCCAGCTTGGTCACCCCAGGTCCCTTCTTAGGGGGTGGGAAAGGTTCTCCCCTCTCCCAGCATGGCCTCTCTCTGCTGGCTTTATTAGCATGATCCCAGCATTAATTTCCTACGGCCCCTTCTGAGGAGGCCGGAAGGAGCATCTCTACTTGTTGGGCCAGACGCTACCTCCTTGTCCCCCACTTCAACATGCTGCTCATGTTCCCCTTCCTGGGCCAGCCGCCCAGGGTCCCAGGATGGAGCCCAGAGTTCAAGACCCCCTGTCTCCCCTGCTTCTCTCCCTCCTTCCTGCCCCCTGCCTGGCGGCCTCTCCCACTGTTGGCAACTGCATCTTGCTCTTTTTTCCCCGAGGAACTGGTCTCTCATCTCTGTGTCCACATCCCCACCTCTGCTGGGACTTTGCTCATAGCTCAGGTCACAGTGCTAAGTGCAGGGAAGGGTTGGGACCTAATCAGGACCAACCCTAGAATTCCTGTGGGTTCTCTTTTTAGGGGAGACTTGTTGAGCTGGAGGAGCTGAGTCTGGGGCTGTTGAGAGTGTGCTCGTGAGGAGTGTGTGCGGCCCAGGGTCTGCTGCTGCTGCCTGACCCTTGGTCCCCGTGTGCTGGTAGTCATATCCCAGGGAGCTTCAGTCAATGACATTCTTCCCAAACCCCCCTCCTGCCCCCTCCCTTTAAGCCAGTATGAGTTGATTTCTGCCACTTAACTAAGAGTCTTAATTGTTACAAAGCAGGAGATGGATGAATGGGGTGGGGCAGGGTGGGGTAAGTAAGCCTGAGTGGCTCTTATCCCAGTTTTAGGCCAGTGACTTGGGGAACCCCTAATTGATGAGTTGTGTGAAGTCACACCCCTGGGAGTGGATGGCTGGTTGATATCATAGTTTAGAGTCCTAGACTCTTGACCACTAAGATTGCCCCTCAGAAAGAGCAGAAATCTGGGATTGAGGGAAGTTTTGTTCCTTCTGAATTGTCACTTCCGCCATGAAGCTAGCTGTTCCAAAATTGTTGGCTCCTAGGGGTGGAGCCACCCCATTGCGGTGAACACAGTCCATTTCCTACTCAGCCTTCAGTGTCCACCTCGCCCCTCCTCCAGCTTCTCCACTGCTAAGACCAAAGCCCAGTTATTGTTAGTGGCAGGCTCAGCTGATGGTCTGAGCCAGCCAAGGACTTTGAGTGTGTCCATGTGACTTTCCTGGGCCAATAGAGGATTAGCAGAGAGGACTGAGAAGGTGCTGGAAACGCCTTGCTGTTTCTGTAAGAAGACAAGCTGC